TAGACCCAAACAGATAAAAATGAATACACTCTTGGTGATAGCTATTTTACAAGGAAAGAATTCTCTATTTTCATATAACCTCGAAGAAGATTATATAGTGTTTAGGGTCATATACTCAGAAAAGGTATGATAAATATTATGACCTTTTAAAAGTATAGTTTAGTCATTGGGCTAATCTCAAGTGAAAAATGAAGTGATTTGTTCTATTAGACCCAAGAGATCACAAAACCTAATTATTCCATTGCTTCCTCAGGCATAATCTCCATGTCTGTTTTTGTAAGAAGCTAATTCTCTGAGGATGCTATTAGTAACTCACTTCTGCACTGTTTGTCCCACACTGGAAATAGTGCAGGTGTTATAAATGTCACTGTGTTTCCAAAGTATAAACCTCCATTAATCTCTTATATTTATGGTTTATCAGGAAATAATGTCCTAAGTGGTAATAGGATATTATCAGGATAAGGTAAATAGGATACTGAGGGTTTTTTTAGGAACAATGTATACTTTCATGCCTCTGTGCCTTAGTGTGTGCTATTCCCTTGGCCCAGGTTCCTCTTTCTCTCTCTCTGCTATTGAATTTCTGCTTGTATTCAAGGCCCAGATCAAATATCAGCTCTCTGAAGCCTTCTCTGTATGTACTCCCAGGTAAAAAGCACTCTCTTCCTCCCCTTTGCTTATGCAAATATTTTAATACTTAACAGGCTCTGACCATGTGCCTCTCTCTAGTTCTGTGCCTGCTTCTCATCTGTCTACTCTATTACATTTCCAGCTCTTAAAAATGAACCCTTCTCATCTGTGCTTCCTTGATACTTGATACTGAGTGGCACACAGTAGCCATTCAATGAATGCCTATAGGTGTTGTTATTTTCCTGAAGGGTCACTTTGCTCCACCCATGCCTTTGTCAGTACCTGTCAATATGGATACCTCTTTGCAAATGTTTGTAGAATCGAATAGAATCCATTTACATGTAAGACAAATATTTGATGATTATTTTAATTTTCTTAACACTCTCCAAATGGCACTAATAATAGTAGGTCGATGCTTATTTCTGTTGCCATAGGCAGTCCATAATGGCACTTAGGAATGATTAATTGGCTTTAACTTTCTTCAGTAAAAGCCTATAAACTGAAACCACTATACATGTGTACTGGAACTGGACAATTAAGTAAATGGATGGTAGAAGGTGGCAGCCAGGTTTCTCACTGTTGGAGTGGGACATTACAGACAAGCAAGGGGAGAAGGCTAGAATGATCCATGTGATAATAGATTAGACCTAGAGACATCAGTGTGAACTAATGTGTAGCTTAATACAGAGATGGGTACACACACACACACACACACACACACATACACACACAAACAGGGGTTTGTTTGCACGTATGTATTTCCTGGCTTTGTCAACTGAGAGGTCCTAGAAGTAAAACACCCCAGTAGCAACAAGCACACCTAGTGCCCAGATTTTGATTTCTAATACCCTTCTCTGAAATAGCAACCAGGCATCCTTGGAGAAATGGCTAATTATAGAACTGGAGCAGGAAATATAAGATGAGCCCAGAGCATCTGACAGTGCCAGAAAGTTAGAAGTGCTCAAAAAACCAACAACGATGGGAATATGTCAAAGAGGCACAGAAGTCAATTAAAATAGCTCCCTATAGTCAAAGTGGCAATAATTTGAGCAATAGAATAAATTAGCATTGGATTATAACCCAAAGTATAAAATAAAATCTCTAAGTCCATACCAATATAAATAAATGATGGATAAATAAATACATAGGCAGAAAAGACAAACTTTCTCTGTAGAAGAATTCCAGTGATTTATGTTACTCCATTCTCAAGAGGGAGGAACATCGTTCCTTGATCTTTAAGTGTGAGCTGTTCAGTGACTGCCTTCCCAAAAGTACGGTATGGAAAGGTGAGAAACTAGTGGAAACACCTGACAAACAGTACTTCAGGCAAGTGGTCAAGAGTAACATCAACAGCGCTAAGTCAGGTGGGTATTATGTCGTGATGAGAATGGCACTTTACCTCTGTGTGTCTCCTTTGATCTTTTTTGGGATCTTCTTTCCCAAAACCCATAACCCCAATTTAATCATGAAAAAAATGCCAGAAAACCCCCAAACAGATACCTTCTATAAAATACCTGACCAGGATGCCTCAAACTTTCAAGATCATCAAAAATAAGGGAAGTCTGAGAAAGTGTCCTAGCCTAGAGGAACGTAAGAGAATGTGACAGCTAAAAGGAATCTGGCATCCTGAATGGAATCCTGGAACAGAAAAGGAACATTAGGTAAAACCTAAGGGAATCTGAATGAACTTATGACTTCAATTAATTTTTTAAAAAACCTGTAAGTACATAATGTAAACTTGTAAGTACGAGAATGCAGGGTAGGAACTGGCATGTAGTGGACATTTAATGTGTATTAGATAAAGGGGTGTGGGAATGATTGGCCCTCCCTTACATTTATGCTCCTCGTCCAAACACATATTAGGCCCAAAATTATACAAACATATATACTTATATCCATAAATGTCTGTATATAGAATAAATACTAGTAAGTAAAAGTAGATAAGCAATTGTATACATTTCCGGCGTATTAGTTTGACCTTATTTTCAGATCCTGAGCCCTTTATTTTTATTCTCCCTCTCTCATTTAATAGAATATAAGAATTTCTGCAGCCAAAGTGATGACCCAATATTGGCCTGTTGGCTTCTGCATTTCTGTAAAGCTTAGAGATAAAGATGTAGAGAAAACACCAAGCCACTCTATTGAGAAAACAACTGCCAAGTGTAGCTGCTGATTGCTTCTCTTAACATCCCAGTGGCAAATGGCCAAACATTCATTCGCATCTTTCATGGGGATGCTAGACCCACCACTTTTCACAATCCCTGACCACGGGCAGCTAATTCTATGTGTACTGAGGGATACAGATGGATGAACGAGCAAGTCAAGGCACTGTAAGAAACTGCACCTGAAATCAAGGAAAACTTAAACAAAGAGATCTGGTTCAGCTGGACTTGAAGGATAAGGAAGTGTTCAATCAGGAAGAACGACCATACTAAAGGTTGAGAAAAAAGGGACACTTAGAAAAACAATTCATTCTGTGCTTCTACATGAGAACAGGGGGGAGAAGCCTAGGAATAGAATTACCCTGCTAAGGAAAAATCGAGGCAAAATGGCAAAATTGGTGAGGGTTGTTTTTGGTGCTTCCTGCTCTTAGGAGGTGAAGAGTGTTTAGGATCAGGTTTAAGACAACCTGAGTTTATAGCCCAGCTCTACTGTTTATGACTGAGTGAGCTACAGAACTTCTCTATGCTCCAATTTCTCATATGTCAGATGGGATAATAACAGTGCCTACCTCACCTGGTGAGAGAATCAATGAGCTCTCATATACAGCCAACACTTTGAGTAGAGTGGGGCACATGAGCATTCAAGACAAGTTGTTTTTATGTTAGTGTTGTTTTTGATGATAATACAGGATAGTCCTGAGGTGGCATGGTCTCTCTTGGAGTGTATGTCTGCATTTTGGGACCTGCCATCAGACCATCAGGGGGACCTACCTTTGGCCGCATAGAGGCTACCTTTTAGGCTTTACCTCAGCATTGAAAATGAATAATCTTTGTCATAAAATCCTATCCTTCCTGAGTGAAGATATCTCTATCATAAAATAAGTTCCTACATGTTTTCAAACTAGTCAATACATATATTATATCATAGTGTTATATGTGAATTTCTAAAGTTGATGGATGAGAAATGCTAGAGTATCCACAACCCTGAAGGAGTACATTATTGTGAATAACTGCATCTTCCAGAGAGCTTAGGGAGCAGTACTTCAAGATTCAAAACTTCTAAAATTGTATCAATTTCAAAGGAATATTATTATATATGACATACCCCTATTTTATCAAGAGTACTTTTTTATTTATCCTTTGAGTTATAACTCTAATAACTGTTCCCTGTAATATTTCAAACTCTAAGGGAAAATTCATTTTGGCCCTATTGCAGACTAACAAAGAAAATGTCATTATTATAAATTCATAGAAATAAAGGATGAAATATAACCAAATTTGAAAAAATACACGACTGAGCTAGAAAAAAAGAGAAGGAAAATTCCTGGTGCTAGCTAGAGTTGCAGCAACCCAAGGGATGTAGAATCAGAAATAGAGGGAGGGTCTAGGAACTGGGGTTTTAATCGACATGCCAGGATAGACCGTGTTACTTTGGGGCTCCATCCATTCACGGTGTTTACCTACAACTGAGACACCTGCATGTAACTGAGCTCTGGAAAGGCCGCCTCCCCTCAACAACAACAACAAAAAAGAATTTGGAAAACTTGTTCTGCCAGGGAAGTGATAAAAAGCTGTGGGTGAAGGAAATAAAAGTCTGAGCCATGTACCAGGAAATCTTACCAAATGCATAGTAAGGGAACCATCACAATAAGAAGTTAATGTCAAAAACTAGTCTGGATGTGGGCAAACACCTGGGACACCAGGCAGAAGCAAATGCACAACCTCTCTACATCATGCTTCAGCCCAAAGGACATGTGGTTCTTAAAAAAAAAAAAAATCCCTGTTGAAGATAAACTCACCTTCCAAAATAATAAGATGTATAAGGAAATCATTCGCCTTATACAAAAGTCAATGGACAGGAGAAAGATTAGCCAGATTGGACTTTCAGAACGTTCACAAAAGTAGTTGTATCTAGAATGTTAAACATGTTTTTAAAATGGAAACATTATAGGCAAAAACAGGATGTTCTGAGAAAATAAAACATATTTTTTCTTTTCTTTTTTTTTTTTTTTTTTGGTCTTCACTGATCTTTATTAAATGAAGGATACCAGGGGCAAGCAGGAGGGATCAAGAGCAACAGCAAGAGCAAATATAAAAGTATAAAATGTAAAGTGCAGCACTGGGCAATGTGTGCAGGGACCATGCCCACAGGGACCTTGGGGACACAAGGCTGAGGATGAGCCATAGCCCACCCTCTAAGGGAATCTAGGCCTAAGGAGCCTGTGCAGGGCTCTTGGCTGGGGGTGGAAGTGGCTTGAATGGGGCCCAACCTTGGGCCTTGACATAGGAGACCAGTTGTGTGGGTACTTCTGCGAGCACAGTCTGTGCTGGTGTCTCCCGAGGGGCATTCTGGAAGCGGCAGTAGGGCAACAAACTGCACTATGTCATGGGCAGCTGCCTCCCCGGAGCATGCACACAGGGGTCCACCATCAGCATCCAGCTGCTCCCTGGCCTCGCAGTCAGCGCCCCCCACACCCACAACAATCACTGACATGGGCAGGTAGGAGGCACGCACCACAGCCTCACGTGCAGCCTCCACATCTCTCACAGCGCCGTCAGTCAGCGGCAGCAGCACCAAGTATTGCGAGGCGGTCCTCCGACGTGCAGCCGGGTTGCCAACCTGGCCACATGGTTGATGATGGGTGCAAAGTTGGTGGGCCCATAGAGGCGAACTTGGGGCAGGGCTTGCGGTGAGCATCCACAATGCCCTGGATGCCTGGGCAGTAGGAGTTACTGGGGTTGAAGTTCAAGGCAAATTCACGGGAGACCTGCCAATCGGGGGGTACCTGGGCCCCAAATCCAAATGCTGGGAATAGCTTGTCTGAGTCATAGTCCTGAATCACACTGCCCACACCACAGTGCTGTCAGGTACTCGTTGACCCCTGTTGGGCTCAGGTAGTGCAGGGAGTCCGGGGAGGAGGGCTCTCCATTGGAGCCCATAAAGTCAATGCCTACAGTGAAGTTGATTTGACAGCCTCCCATCCCATAGTCCAGGAATGAATACTGTGTTTCTACCTGGCAAATCTTGACACAAAAAAAGTTCTTGTAGCTTTTCTTTTTCTGCTGTTTCTCAGGGTGGATACATTCAAACAGCCGGGACTACTTGCAACTGGGCCAAGCTGGTGTAGAAGGTACCAATGAGATCATGTGAACCATCACTGTCATGGTCTGAGCATCGCACCTGGATGGGTGTGTTGGCGTCTCCCCAACAGAAATGCTGAAGGGGAACAGAGAAGCACTTCCATGTAGGGTTCAAGTTGTTCCTGATTACCTCAGATCTGTATGCCAGGTGCCATTTCCCATCACCCTGACGAAAGATCTCCAAGAACGGGTCCGATTTCCCCAGGATGTCCTTCTTATCTAGTTTTCTGGCCTCCACCTCCATGGTCACTATACAATTATCCTTCATCTCTTGAGCAGATACTGTGATGGTCCCCCACCCAGCAGGTTTTCCAGGCTTCAGCATCAAGGGTAGAGTTATTATCTGGCTGGACACAATCTGTCCTAGGGAACACTCAGCCCCTCCTAGGAAGTCATCATCCCCAGCTCAGGTGTCTTGTTGTCTATGTCATAAATGCCAAATCGGAGCTTCTGGACTGTTTCAAAGTGGTACTCAAGCTGCAGAGTCTTGGAGAACTCGGGGCTCGAGCAGTTCCGCACTCGCTCAGTTCGGCCAAGCTCAGCCCAGCTGCTCCCTCCCACATCCTGTAAAAGGACGCAGAGTGGGTGGGACTTGGAGCCGATGTCCTTGTCAATGAGGTGGTCACAGGAAATGGATAGTTGAACCAAGGTCACGCAGTGGGTCATCTCTTTTGCCGCTTCACAAAATGGCCGACAGCCCGCTCAGCTGCTCCGAGTTCCAGAAGGGGAGGGACGGAATGGTAAAACATATTTTCTTAAATAAAAAAGAATATCTAGAAATAAAAATTTCAACTATTTGATATTAAAAACTGTGAATAAATCAGATTGTAGGTAATATACAGTAGAAGAGAGAATATGTATCTAAGGAAATTCATTGTAATGCAGCACAGTGAGAAAAACAGATAAAAATATGACAGTTGTTAAAAGACGAGTAAAGAATCAAGAAGGAGACTGTATGTATAATGAACAAGCATATTAAGAGAGATGATAACTGATAAATATTCATTAAGTAAGACAGAAATCCTTAGATTAAACAAAAACCCCTAGTCTAGTTAGAATGAATAAAAATAAATTTGCACCTGGAAAAAATCTTAGTAAAAGTACGAAACATCAAAAACAATGAGAAGATTGTTAAAAATCACCCAGAGATAAAAGCTAGATTATCAGCAAAGGAATATTTGTGCTGATGGCTATTTTCTTAAACACAATAATAGAGGCTAAAAACCAAGGGTAAAGTCTACTACTGAGAGAAAATAGCTGTGATCCTCCAATTTTAAAAGTATCTAAACTACCATTTAAGAATTAGATTAAAAAATACATTTTTAGGCAAATATTTTTAAAAATACTAACAGATGGACTTCAGGAATAAGTAAAATGAATGGGAAGGAGTAGGATAGGATGTATGGAGAAGGGATGAACAAAGGCATCAGAAAACATCTGGTAAATCCAAATAAACATGCTGTAAAAACAAGAGCAAAGACTAATTTGGAGTGAGAGGATTTAAAAAGAAGGTGGAACTAAAATATTTCCCAGTCATGATATGGACCACAGGAAGAGCTGTAATTTGATTACAAGTGTTGTAAAATGCTTCTATAGTTCAAGCTGAAGCCACACCTTTTGATTATTATTAGCTCTTTAGATTCAAGAATGCATGTCAAAAATTTAAGAATAACTATTAAATAAATAAGAAAAGAATCTATAACTCTCAACCAGTTGATAGGTAAAATGGTGAGGAATAAAGAAAACTTGATCAATCCAATAGAAATGCTCTGTGATCCTACATTTCTGCTTCTTGCTACATAACCCAGAGAGACTCTGGCACATGCGCAAGATAAGATGTAGACAATGTATTCATTGCATCATTCATCTCCATCAAGAGGAGAATAAGTAAATTGTGGTAAGCTTATACAATAGAATATTATAGGCAATTAAAATGAATTAACTTCAGCAACATGGCTCAAGCTGAAAAGGAATGTTGAGTATAAAAAAGTAGAACGGTAAAAATGATGCCATTTATGTAAACTTAAATACACCAAAAGAGATCTGGGATGTTTATGAAAGCACAGCTTTCACCTGAAAGCACAGGTGAACTATAAAATCATGCACAGGAAGGATTTATCCCCATTTTAAGATGATGGTTATCTCTGGGGAGAGTGGGAGGAGGAGTGGGAACAGGGAGGTGGGTAAATGGCTTTAGGTCTATCTATGACACTTAAATCCTTTTGTAAAAAGAGAGCTGCAGGAAATATGACAAAATATTGACATTTGATATATCTAAGTGATGGAAAGACAGGTATCAGTTATATTTTCTGTACTTTTCCATATGTTAAAGTTATTAATTTTAAAATATTAAAAAACAATTCAAATAATTTATAAGCATACAAATCAATCTTCCGTCCCTCTCTTCTGGCAATTTTATCTTTCCATATTTCCTTTTGCTTGTGCAAGAATACGTATTATTCTGGAACTTCTTTTGACTCAGTATATTATAGAGAATTTCTTTTTTTAAACATTTTATTTATTTTAGAGGGAGAGAGAGAGCATGAGTGGGGCAGGATGGGGGCAGAGGGAGAGAGAGAAGCAGACTCCCCACTGAGCAGGGAGTGCCCCAGCAGGGCTGACCCCAGGACTCTGGGATCGTGACCTGAGCCAAAGGCAGATGCTTAACTGACTAAGCCACCCAGACACCCTTAGATAATTTCTTCCAGCCAATGCACATGGATTTACTTCATTCTTTGTATTTTTCCACAGCATGGATGTATCATAATTTTATCCACTGATTACCATATTAGTTAGATTTCCAGGAATGTTTTCATTTGTTGGTTTGTTTGTTGTTTATTTGGGGAGAAATTGCTACTAAAACAATTCTCTTGTAAGTTGTGGCCCTCTTACTTTTGTCAGATATATTCCTAGAAGTGAGACTTTGGGGTCAAAGAATATATATATTTTCCTTTTTCATAATTATTATGAAATTGCTTGCAATGATAACTGTAATATTTTATAGTCCCAACAATTGTGTTTGAGAATGATGGTTTCATGTATCCTGGCCAGCCCAGAAACTATCAATCTTTTCCATCTTTGGCATTCTAAATTATTGGTTTTTGTTTTGTTTTTTTTTTTTGCATTTCCCTAACAACTTATAAATTTGAACATCTTTTATATGTTCACCAGACATTTGTGTTTTCTCCTTTGAGAATTGCCTATTAATATTCTTTGCTCTTATAAAAATAACTTCATAATTTCTATATAACTCACTCATTTGCCCAGTAAACATTTATAGAGCTGTAGTGAGGGTCTGGGACTAAGCACCAATGGCAATTAAGATACAGATTGGGGGCACCTGGGTGGCTCAGTTGGTTAAGCCTCAGACTCTTGGTTTAGGCTCAGGTCATGATCTCAGGATCCTGGGATCGAGCCCCATGTCAAGCCCCACATCAGGCTCCATGCTCAGTGGGGACTCTACTTGAGGGTTCTTTCTCTTCCTCTCTCTCTGCCCCTCCCCCATTCATGCTCTCTCTTTCTCAAATAAATTAATCTTAAGAAAAAAAGATATAAATTGTACCTTCAAGGAGCTTCCCATCTAGTACAGAGATTTAGTGATAAAGTGCTCAAACACTGCAAGAAATGTCTGTCTAAACAGAGTGCAATGAGCCACCTTTGGAGACCCAAGAAGGATAGAAAACCTTAATCCAGCATGTTGATGCTTCTATTGGGTCTTGGATTGAGTAGGTATTGGCCAGGCATTTCCCAAAGCTTGGGATCTGTGCAAAAGGAAGGCAATGCAAGTAGAAGAAACTGTGTATAAATCATGCAGATATGAACAGTGTAGATTAGTGCTCAGGAGTCATGCCACTGAGATAGGAAATCAGGAGGAGTTGTAGCTTCCTTAAGAGAATGAGGAAGAGAAAGTTGAAGTGCCTATAGATTATCCAGCTGGAGACATCCAGTGCATAGTCGGGTAAGTATGTCTGGAGTGCAGAAGAATGGTCTGTTAGAAATCCATTCTTGAGAGACATCTACATATAGGTAGCGGTTTGTTGTTCATTATACCAATTTTGAAGCTCCACCAGCTCTCTGGGGTTTCTGGTTATGTGGGGCAGTTTGTTAGCAAACTAAATGGCTTCCAACTGCTATTTTTTTAAAGCTTTTGTCCTTACTTTATTGTATATATTTTTTTAATGTCTCTGCCCTTGCTTTAAAACTCATTCTTAATGCTGTGAAATACCTCCTATTATATTCCCTTTTCTGCCTACTTACTAAAAAGCTCTGTACATAGAGATTGGCTACTCCTCCCCCAAATTTGGGATTATGTGTATATACTATTAATATATCCAACAGGAGGGGTATGAGGAGCTATCTTGGTAAAATCCTGAGACGTGGAAGTGTTGTCTTTTTTAAAAAGTTTTTACTTAAATTCCAGTTAGTTAACATACAGTGTAATATTAGTTTCAGGTGTACAATACAGTGATTCAACACTTCCATACGTCACCCAGTGCTCATCACACGTGCACTCCCCCCCCCATTTTTTTAACAAGGGAGATTTTGTTTATTAATCAGTTTACAAAAAGTACAGTCTGGTCATCCTAGTTCTTCTTCCCTCTATTTGTCTTTTTTTTTTAATTTAATTTTATTATGTTATGTTAGTCACCATACAATACATCATTAGTTTTTGATGTAGTGATCCACGGTTCATTGTTTTCATATAACACCCAGTGCTCCATGCAGTATGTGGAAAAATGAAGGGGGGGAAATCAGAAGGAGAGATGAACCATGAGAGACTATGGACTCTGAGACATGTGCACTCCTTAATCCCCATCACCTGGGGGATTTAATCCATCCCCCCACCCACCTCCCTTCTGGTAACCATCAATTTGTTCTCTATAGTTAAGAGTCTGTTTCTTCATTTGCCTCTCTCTCTTTTTTGCCCCCTTTGCTCATTTTTGTTTGTTTGTTTCTTACATTCCACATATGAGTGAAATCATATGCTATTTGTCTTTCTCTGACTGACTTATTTCACCTAGCATAATGCTCTCTAGCTCCATCCATGTTGTTGCATATGGTAAGATTTCTTCCCTTTTTATGGTTGGCTAATATATATATGCCACATCTTTATCATCAGTCAATGGACACTTGATCTGATTCCATAATTTGACTATTGTAGATAATGCTGCTATAAACATTGGGGTGCATGTATCCCTTTGAGCTAGTATTTTTGCATTCTTTGGGTAAATACCCAGTAATGTGATTGCTGGATCTTAGGGTAGTTCTCTTTTTAACTTTTTGAGGAACCTCTATACTGTTTTCCAGAGTGGCTGCACCAGTTTGCATTCCCACCAACAGTGCAAGAGAGTTCCCCTTTCTCCACATCCTCACCAACACCTGTTGTTTCTTGTGTTGTTGACTTTAGATATTCTGACAGGTGTGAGGTGATATCTCATTGTGGTTTTGATTTGTATTTCCCTGATGATGAGTGATGTTGAGCATCTTTTCATGTGTCTGTTGGCCATCTGTATGTCTTCCTTGGAAAATTGTCTATTCATGACTTCTGCCCATTTTTAATTGGATTATTCATTTTTGGGGGGTTGAGTATTTTAAGGTCTTTATATATTTTGGATACTAAGGAGGTTGTGTCTTTTAAGAAGTTTGTAATTTACATCCTGATTCTTGTGTGTTTTCCAGGATAGGTTAAGGGGTCAGATACTTGAGTT